TTTTTGGAATTTGCTTCTCTTTTATTTTGTTGTTAACAATAATTGATTGTGATATGTACCGATAGTAGTACCGATTCTTCGGAGTATAACTCGTAATACCACAAAACCAACACAATAATGTGTATTAAAACTATTAAAGATTGTTAATGAAAAGAGTCTATCTTTGATATTATAAGAATTCGTATCTCTTCACAATTAATTAATCTATACACCATACTAAATTTATCTCAATAAACTGCTAAGTCCTCAAGCAATATGAAACTTCACTTTGAAAAACTGCTAAATAATTGTTTTGCCGAATTTTATAAAATGTGTATAAGTGGTAGAGCAACGCGGCAGATTTTGATGTCGCACGGTTGGGCTGGCTCGAACCGGGGTGGTACCACGACCTCACAGAATACCAGCGTGAAGTAGAGGTTTAGCTCTGCGTTTCGTTTGGTGAGTGCAGGTGGCCGGAGGCCCTTTTTATTGGAAATGAGGCATTCCATCTTAGTCCTCACGGGTGACAACGCATCTACATTTTGATTTGTAATAGAGGATAGATGTAGATGTCTATGGGCCGCAGCAACCACTTACCATCAGGTGGACTGTGTGCTTTTTTGTCACCCTTATCCTATAAAAAAAAAGTTATGCTGCTAATTATATTTTTAAAATATCAAAACAAGTTGTCCTGTAAACTATGAAAAAGTGACATTATCAAGTTAACGACGAATTAGGCCGACGAAATATTTACTGAAAGCCAATCGTAAAGAATATATAAACACACCAGACGTATAAATGTTAGTCGATCTAAATACAATATAAAACTCCAGGTTGAATAGGTTGTATAAAACACAAATATAATTACATATGCAATCACGGGAGAATGCAAATGACGAAACTTTACTCCTAACATATAAGGGATGCCGAAATTTCTACAATAAACTTCCATTTAACTTAAAAAGGGAAAATGAAAAAGGGGTGATAAGAATCTCCGGCGGAGGTTCGTTTGCCACCTAAGACGACACGACCTGGCAACATACGACGCACGCACACTGAGGACTGACGAGAAGATTCTAGAGCTGGAAGAAAAGATAGAAAAGTTACGTTCGCATATTAAAGGATTATCCGAGGTCCGAAGAGAGGGGGAGGACACGGTAAACCTCTAATCCAACAACCTGTTCTATCTACTGCGAGGTCGACTATCTGTTTCAAGGAGTTGTTGAATTTATCGTCCACAAGTCTCTCGTTAATAACGTTGTAAAGATTGTGAGTGTGTCGACGAGGGTTGCGTACCTATATATATACTCAGAATCACCAAATGGTATTCTATGATGGTCATACAGGTTTACGCACCAATCCAATGAGAAGGTGAAGGAAATGTATGCGGATATCTCTAAAGCCATGCATTCCTCCAAAACCCACTATTTGGTGTTAATGGGAGACTTCAATGTAAAACTAGGCACAAGAATAAAACGGTGAGTTGCAGGTAGGGAAATCTGGAATAGGGCACCTGATCGCAAGGGCCAGCAGCGGGCCGACCTCATGAAGAAAGACAGACCCTTTATGGAGAACTCTTTCTTTCAGAAGCGGCCCCACAGGAAGTGGACCTGTTCAAGCCCTGACGGTACTACAAAAAATGAGACTGACTTTACTATGACGACCAGACGACAACTGTTCAGTGATATCTTAGTGTGACATGGTCTTTCACTGCTGGCCGTATGAGGACGCTCAAGTTCGCTCAGCGAGCTATGAAGAGGGCTATGCTTGGAGTTTCTCTGTGTGATAAACTTAGAAATGAGGATATCTGCAGTAGAACGAGAGTAATCGACATAGCCCAACGGATTATTAGGCTGAAGTGGCAATGGACCTGCCATATAGCTCGAAGAACCTATAACCGATAGGGTAAAAAGGTTCTCGAGTGGGAGCCTCGTACCGGTAGGCGAAGTTTTTTTTTTATAGGAGAGGGATCAAACGAGCATGCGGCTCACCTAATGGTAAGTGACTACCGCCGCCCATGAACAACTGCAACACCAGAGAGGGAATTGCAGATGCGTTGCCGGCCTTTTAAAAAGGAGTACGCTTGAAGGTCTCTAAGTCGTATCAGTCCGGAAAAATCGCTGATGATAATTGATTCCACAAGGAAGTCGTGCGAAGTGTAGGGCGATCCCCACGAGATGGAGTGATGACCTGTTAAGACATGCAGGAAGTCGATGGATGCAGGTGGCTCAGGACCGTGCTTTGTGGCATTCCTTGGTGGAGGCCTATGTTCAGCGGTGGACTTGTGAAGGGCTGTAATGATGATGATGATGATGAAGTGTTAATTGCACGAAAGCCAGGGACAGTAAAAGAAATTATGGAAAGCAATAAAATAAATATATGCAACATCACTGCATCAAAAAAGAACCAACAGAGCTATTAAATATTCCAGGATCTATAAGCAAAAAAGAATGTGTGGGTATCTGTAATAACTATTTTTCGACAGATTGACAAAATAATAATTTTGTGTGCTAAACACAAAATTCCTATTAAAAGCAAAAACACATAAGAAAGTCTAGTGCGAAATGGAAAAATTTGAAATACAACAAACTCGTTTTATACGCAACATACGGACGCTTATGAAATTGAAAACCTAATAAAGAATCTCAAAAATGATAAAGGGCCAAAAATTGATGGACTAAGTAATACACTGATAAAGCATATTATAAAATTTATCACTGAGCCACTTACAGTATTATGCAACTCGAGTATTTTTCCGGCGTATATACAGAAGCTTAGAAGACTGCAATGGTGTATACCGTATATAAACAGGGTATTAAAAACTCTTCAGATTATTATCAATCCATTTCACTTCTTTCCAAACTTCTTGAGATATTGTTTGATAGAAGACTAATGAATAACTCAGAAGCACATAAACTGATCTCTTTATGACAGTTTGGATTAAGGTAAAGAAAATTTACCGAGGACGCTGTAACCACCATGATTTTAGACATATCTTCTTCCATTGACAAAAACGAACTGTATTGGCGTATTCGTGGACTTAGCTAAGGCCTTCGATACTTTTTCCGATCCAATATTATGTAAAAAGCTTGAAAACCTAGGAGTCAGAGGATTAGCTTTAGATAAGCTTTTGACGGTTCTGTGGCGCAGTGGCTTAGCAATGAGTTAAAAGCTTTTAGAAAAATTTACTTCGCAAATATCCACGTTATAAAATAAAATTATGTGTCTTACCTAGTATGAAGAGCACCTCCCGCCCTCCCTCAATTGCGTGCACTATCCCCGTCACCACTAATCCCATCACCACTACTCCCAACACCACTACACTAGGCAAGACACACCACTGACGACAATACGACACGTGTTTCGCCTCTACACGAGGCATCCTCAGGTGATATAGACTCTAACGGTGGCTAACTGCTAAGTGAGCGGCAAACTAAAACAACTGCCTTTTATACAGACCGATGACGCAACCGCTCTCTACTTAAGGAGCGAGCGACTGCGTCATGCGATAAAACATGCGAATAATCACCGCCGGACTTACGCAGCCGTTTGTAAAATTAAAAACAAACCGCCGCGCAACACCCGCCTACCCCCCAACCTCGCAACCAATCGCCGATCACCGGGAGGTTGACAAACGACCATATTGCGAGGCTCTCTATTATTAGAGAGCAGGCTTGAAGATATTTAAGAGAGGTGAGTTAGTAACATTTGTTTGTTCATTCAGCAGTGCAACGGTACTATTATTACTTTTTAATATCTCTAACTGTTCTAGCACACACAGCCGCAGCCCTTTATTACACGTATGTAAGATTTTAAAGGAGTGGTCGTTGGCTAGGTTGTGTCCAGTGTCCAAAAGATGTTTGGCAAAATGGGATTTATCGGGATTGCAATTCCTGTACGCGGTTAAACGCTCTTTATAACGTGTCTCAAAATTGCGACCAGTCTGACCCACGTCAATGGCATGGCATTCGTCACAAACAAGTTTTTAAACACCTGACTTTTGACGAATATCCAAATTATCTTTATTATTACAGATATTTCTAAGAGAATTGTTTGTTTTGAACGCCACATAAACGCCGTTATGTCAAAGAGTATTAGCTACTTTTTGAGATATGGGGCCTAAGTAGGTCAAACTGAATGAACACTTTGAGTTTGAACCGCGTACGGAGGTTAAGTTATGAAGATCATTTGTTTCCCCGGGATGTAGACAACGTTTATCAAAGAGATCTGCCAGTATACGCAAACAGTCAGGGGATGGGACATTTGTGAAAAGACTATCAACGTCTAAAGATAACAATATGGATTTAGGAGGAATACGAATATCTTTAATTTTGGAAATGAGATCTAAACCATTTTTTAGGCTGTAAGTGGGGTTGAATCCAGATTTCTCTCGAAGGAGGAAGTTTAATTTTTTAGCAAGGAAATAAGCTGGTGCACCAATATATGATACAACTAGATGAATAATAACATGTTCTTTATGTATTTTTGGTAACCCATATAAAATGGGTGCTTGAGGATTCATTGGAACAATACTGCTCCGAGACAAGTTGTAATCGGGAAAAACATATGATGACTGTTGTATACATAACTTAATATCCGAAGTAAACTTTTTGGTTGAGTCAGACTCCAATAGCTCAAAGTCATCACCTTGGAAAGCCTGAACGCATCCTTCTGACGTCATCCTGAGCTGGAGTATTAAGCTCTTTGGGAACAGGATCAAGGAAGTAACCGAGATTGGGGTCGGACGTGAGAGTGGGATTAGGGATAGGGTTGGAAGCTGGGTCAATTAGCATGTAGGCCAGTTTTAGACGGTCTATGGATACCGTGACGATTTTACCCTTTATTAATATTTTGAACGTTTTTGCATTACGCTCTAATACTTGGTACGGACCAGTGTAAGGGGGCTGCAAAGAGCCACGTAATGCATCGTCCCTTAAAAATACATGACTTGACGCAAATAAGTCCTTGTGTATAAAAATCTTTACTTTATTGTGACGCGCAGCAGGGGAAGATTGCAGCTTTTATGTTATTTGACGCAGTCGGGTGGTAAAGTCCGATATATCTATTGAGCCAGGAGCTGTGGCTTGGAAGAATTCGTTTGGTAAACGTAAAGGCTCGCCGTAAACTAATTATTTTTTTTTATATTTTTTTTTATATTTTTTTTTATAGGAGAGGGGGCAAACGAGCATGCGGCTCACCTGATGGTAAGTGACTACCGCCGCCCATGAACAACTGCAACACCAGGGGAATCGCAGATGCGTTGCCGGCCTTTTAAAAAGGAGTACGCTCTTTTCTTGAAGGTCCCTAAGTCGTATCGGTCCGGAAAAATCGCTGATGGTAATCGATTCCACAAGGAGGTCGTGCGAGGAAGAAAACATTTCACACAATTCGGCCGATGATGTTCGAAGATCATCCTTAAATGAGCTCCTAATGCCCAATAATATCAGAGGCAACGTGTCTACCCAATGGCTATCAGCGTGGCACATTATGGCTGCCTTTAACTGACGGTGGAATCGTTCCACTAGGCCGTTGCAAGATGGATGATACGCCATTGTTCTACGATGCTTGAATCCATTCATCTTTCCAAGGTACTGGAAAAGTGACGATTCAAATTGTCAACTACTATCAGTGACAATATCGGTTGGGCATCCAAATCTGGTTATCCACGATATTAATGCCTTTCCAACTGTCTCGGCTGTTATGTCTGCTATTGGTATTACTTCTGGTCATCGTGTGAAACGATCCACCGCAGTCAAGCAATAGCGGTAACCCTGAGAAATAGGGAGGGGGCCAATAATGTGCACGTGAACAAAAGTAAATCGGGCGCGGGGTAAATCAAACGTGCCTAACGGTGACGAAATGTGCCGATGAATCTTAGCGCGCTGACACGCCAAGCATTGTCGAGACCACTCTCGACAGCCTTTACAAACGCCAGGCCACACAAATCGCTCTGCTACTAATTTAGCACTAGCATTGGCACCTGGATGGCTTAAGCTGTGAAGACTGTCAAAGAGTTGTCTCCTCAACGGCTTGGTAACAAAAGGCTTAGGTGTAGACTTGCTTACGTCACAATAAAGTTGCAGTTGAGAGTTAGGAATCCTCAACTTTTCCAGACGGAGTGAAGATTCACCTCCTAGAAATTGAGTCAGCTCTCGATCTGATGCTTGAGACGAAGCAAGCACGTCTAAGTCGATAGGCATCTGCAGTTCTTCGACACGTGACAGTGGGTCAGCGACGACATTGTCTTTTCCCGATATATGTCTAATGTCGGTCGTAAACTGCGAGATATAATCCAGGTGACGATACTGCCGAGACGAACAATTAGCTTTCCTTTCGTTGAAAGCATAACTGAGCGGCTTATGGTCGATAAACACCACTAAATATCTAGCCTCTAGCATATGACGAAAGTATTTGATGCTTTCGTATATGGCTAAGAGCTCGCGGTCGTAAGGCGAATATTTTTGTTGAGAGAGAGTCAACTTCTGCGAGAAGTATGCTAATGGTTGCCATTCCCCACTAATTGCCAGGTCGGACGCGTCTGTTACTAGCGCGAGTTCAGCCCGACAAACCGGGTGTGTGAGTAATGCAGCATCAGCAAGACTTTGATTGCACCTGTTAAAGGCTAAAAGTGCGTCACCAGTCAGATTGACTGAGTGAGACGCCTTAACAGAGCCGGCAAGAAGTGCACTCAAAGTGGCTTGGATTGAAGCTGACTGAGGTAGGAAACGTTTGTAAAAATTGAGCATTCCTAGAAATCGTCTAAGTTGCCTTACCGTTTTAGGCACGGGAAAGCTCTTTATGGCTTTGACCTTGGATTCAAGAGGTTTGGTGCCAGATGCAGAAATTTGATAACCCAAAAATGTTACCTCGTTTGCGCCGAAGACGCATTTCGATGTGTTGAAATGCGAGTGAAAAGTTGATGAAGGTGGGCTTTCTGTTCTGTGTCGTCCTTGGAGAAGACTAAAAAATCATCCAAGTAGGCATAACAAAATCAAGACCTTGTGTCATCTCGTCAACAAATCTCTGGAATGTTTGCCTCCCGTTCCTCAGGCCGAAGTTCATAAAGGGAAATTCAAACAATCCAAAGGGTGTAGTAATAGCGGTTTTCTCCTCAAAAACTGGGATTTAGTTGTACGCCTTCATCAAATCGATGGTGGAGAAGACAGTACAACCAGCGGTACTGTGGGAAAAATCGTGTATGTGCTTAATAGGATAACGATCTGGAAGAGTCCGTGTATTAAGCATGCGATAATCGCCACAAGGGCGCCATCCGTTATTTTTCTTAGGCTCAAGGTGCAAAGGTGAGGCCCAGAGGCTTCTAGAAGGACGCGCGGTGCCATTATTTATCATAAGCTGAAATTCCTGTTTGACAATTTTAAGTTTATCAGGTGCCAGCCTACGAGGTGTACATAATATGGGAGGTAGGAGTACCTGGTGTAGTCGTTGTGTAGTGTACCGTATTATGTTTTGGAACCATCAGCGTGCCTGAAGGGCGTGTTATTTCTGGGAACTTATTTAAAAGATTGTGATAACGGGTGTCGCCTGTCAAGACCTAGATAGATGAGATATCAGCTTTAGCAAAAGAAGAATGTAGTAGTATTAGTAAGGCGTTCATTGCGGCAATCTACAATTAAATTATAAAAGCTAAAAAAGTCAACACCCTAAATTTAAATTAAGCTCTATAAAGCTAAACGTGTCAATTACCGATCCATTCGCGGCGCTCAACTGGTAATTTGTCTTGGTTCGACGCTCCCGAAGTGCAGAACTAGAGTAGATGCAAAGGTCACTGCCAGTATCCACCTAGAACTGGGTGTTTGAGCTGCGGTCGGTTACAAAAAGGCGACCTGTTGAGGAGGGGCAATCGTCTGCCACCATTAGCGACTGCCCTCGGAGTTTCCCGACTTGCCAAAATCACAGGGCTTCAAGCACCTATGGGCCTGCGCTCCATACTTTGCATGGTACCAGCACATCGGGTATTTACGATAACTGGAATTGGATTTGCATCTCTGCCTCGAAGAAGAACGATGACGATCATGCGCTCTGGAATGACTACGACTGGTAGAACAGCATGCTGCACGTGTATGCTCTTCTAGTTTCACTGTAAGCTGCTGCACCATCTTCTTCAACTCTGCAATGTCCTCGGACGGATGAGATATATGCACCTCACGGGAAGATGTAGCAGCGATGTTGCATGGTGACGTCAGCTCCTGTATCCAATCAGCTAGGTACGCAAATTGCTCCAGTGAATGTGTCGGCTGCGATGCCAGCACAGTCTGGATATTATGTGGCAGGCGATTGCTCCAAATCGACATAATGAAGTCCTCAGGAACTGAAGGACCAGCCAAATCCTAAAGGTGCCTCAAAAATTGTGATCTCCTAGCTCTTCATGGGTCAGCAACTGTTTCACCTTCTTTTCATGGGAAGCTGAGAGACGTTTGTTCAGGTCTGACTTGATCTTGGCATATCGATTATGAGCTGGAGGGTTAACAATAATATCCTTCACTTTTTTTGCGTATTGAATATCTAAATGATTGGTCACTTCCGTGAACTAAATGGAATCATCAGTGATGTCATGCCTAGAAAACTGACCTTCAATAAGCGCGATCTAAAGTTCCGGATCCTCAGGTGAGAATGGTAGCACTTTTATTTTTAATTTGGGTACATATTTATTTTCATGTTCCGTGAAAACGCGCACTGGGTGTGTCCGTCGTATAGTGACGTTGGCATCGTGGCGCGATCCAACCGTTTTCGCGGAGTCACTGCTATCACTCATCTTAATCTTCGTGTCCTTATCGGGGTCACCAGTTGTAGCGTGATGGTGTGTGTGGTAGAATGTGTATGGGTCACAGTCTGGTAAAAAATAATTAAGTCCAAACGTACACAGTAAAGTTAACATTTATTTACTATAGACAGTTACACAAATTATACAGAGTTCCACACGATACAATATACAAATAAATAGCTATATAAAATTGAAGGAGTAGAAAGCGATAGTATAAAACAAAACTATAAAAGCTAGTATTCGCGAGAAAATAACGTGACACTACGGTTAGCCAGGCGACATGGGCTTCGCGTGTGAGGTCGGTAAGCAGACTTGCAATGGCAAACGCGGTGGGAGGCGTTGAATGCGCCTGCGCAAGGAACTTCATTTTAACGGTATCGTTGTTTAGCGCGTTTCCAATGCACAACGAGGCGAATGTGAATAATCTTTTATTAAATATTTCTTTTGTATTGTGATTATTTTGTAACTGTGTTATTTATGTTATTTTATGATTGTAAATAGTTAGATAGAAGTAAAGATGTAAGTTTATATCGGTATAGTATAATTTAGTAAATACATATAAAATAAATTATAAGTGTATAATATGTATATGTACGTATAATATACAACAAGTAGGCTACACGTCAAAAAGTTCCAGTAGCAGTCACCACAGTAAACCTTCAAGTCACTCTATAAAGTCCGGATGTGAGGTCTCATCATAACTAAAAAAAGGAGGCCAAACTCAGCACACCTAGTTCGACTCTTCGAGGAGTTCCAGAAGCATTCACCGAAGAACACCTTCAGGTAACTCTATCAAGTCCGGAGGTAAGGTCTCGTCATAAATTACAAAACGAGGCCATACTGCGCACTGTATCACGTCCGGAGGTAGGTCTCATCATAACTAGCAAATCGAGGCCAAACTCAGCACAGCTTGATCTACTCTTTGAGGAAATCAAGTAGCATTCATCGAAGTACACCTTCAGGTCACTTTATCACGTCCAGAGGTAAGATTTCATCATACCTAGCAAAACCAGGTCAAGCTCGTCTCACCTAGTTCTACTCTACGAGGAGTTCCAGTAGCATTCACCGACGTACAACTTCAGGTCACTCTATCAAGTATATATATATATATATATATATATATATATATATATATATATATATATATCAAGTATATATATATATATATAATATAAACTCATATTATTGTCTGTGTGCTTATTTGATTGATTGTATGTTCCGTGGGAAAACATTTGCAATCGACTTTAAACTAACTTGCCGGTGAACTACTACTGCCCGCTACGTTTTGTGTCCTTCCCTTGCACACATCTCTCGCAACACACCCCTCGCACACATCCCTCGCACACATTATTTCCTTTTTTTGTATATACAAAAACCTTACTTCCCTGAGCCGTTTCCACCAGAGCAGCATTAAGAGAGGCTACGTAAATTAAGTGATTCTATTGGTTTTCAACAAACACATCCCTCGCTACACATCCTCACACATCTCTCGTGGAAACGCAGTCTAAATCTGATTACGATGAAAGTTTGATTAGTTGTTGTACGCATGCCGGGCACAGCTGGTTTACTTATATAATTGAAACAATCAAAATTAACACGAAGTATATACTGAAGGAAAAATGAAACAAAAAAAAAAGCTAGAGGACGGGAATTTGATAGTAGAAGCAACGATTTTTACCGCTTGCTACAGTTTAACATTCTTTTCTTAGAAATTTTAATCTAAATAAGCGAACGGTTCAGCTGTTTAATCATTATTTAATATGGAAGCTCTGATTTATTTATGCCTCTTCTACCCTTTCAAATACCTAAATGTTTTATTACTTTCAAAAAAGTAAATGAGAAATAAGTACCTATTTCAAATTTATCATTCATGTCATAATCAATTTCACATTTAGTTAAAACTTAAGAGACAAAAAAATATATAATCATCAAAATCAGTTGACGAGGTACAGAATTATTCGCCCATATGTCTTGCACAAGCCTTTGTAAATTAAAGAGTTTCATTATTGTCTTAAGATTCTATTATTAGACTAATTTATATGGAAACCTGCATGTCTGAGAAATTACTGAAAATTCGAAGACATGTGCAGTCTGTCCATACGCAATAGTGTAGCGGGTCATTGGGTTAGTGAATTGAAACCAAATATTGTTAGAAATATGAAAAATTTTAATACTTATAAACACAGGTTTATAAGTATTTAAATAATTCATACGATTAATTGCAAATTTAACAACACTAACAGCTGCCGTACTTCATTATAGTATAGTAACGTACCAAGGCATGCATACATATTACACTTTTAAACGATCTGTTATACTACTTGTATCGGCTTACGATCGTCGTGATGAAATACACTACAACACCTCCCCTCGAAATCGTTAGATAACCTTTGGACATTTACATACACATTATTCCTAAATTTCGCAAGCATTCATGATTTTTGGTCCACTCAAACCTTTGGTCAAAACATCTGCTGGCATTCTTTCTGTACATAAATATCTGAGTTCAATAAAACCTTCTTTACATATATCTCATTGAAAGTGATGCCCAACATCAATATGATTTGTTCGTGATCTATAATTCCTAAAATAGATTAGTTTAATCGCACCCTTATTGTATTTAATAAAAACAACAATCTCTCATTCAATACCTATATTATTTAAAATGTTTAATAAATACAAAGCCTCCCTTGTAGCCTCAGATATAGCTTCGACTTCTGTACTTCATACCTAAACAATCAGAATTTTTTCCCATGTCTTCGTTCTCAAATTTATTTGACAGTTTACTTTTAACATTGTTTAACGATACATTACTATTTGTGGCTAAAATAAGATCATCGAAATATACAGCAATCAACATAATGTGCTCATTCTTTCGCGCTACAAAACGCACTGATCTTGAGGTAACGCCTTAAAACTTATACGTAACAACATTTGCACTAATTCTTTATGCCACTATAGCCC